AACCAAGAACGAGGAGCTCGCCAAGCGGGCAAAGAAGCTGCTGCGCAGCTGGCAGAAGCTCATTGAGCCAGTGCACCAGAATGAGGCAGCGCTGCGGGGTCTGGCCGGGGCCGCTGGCTCAGCCAATGGAGGTGCCCACAACTGCCGGCCGGAGGCGGGGACGGCTGGCACACCCAAGAGCATCCATGACCTGAAGAACCGCAACGACATCCAGAGGCTGCCTGGGCAACGGCTGGACAGGCTGGGCAGCCGCAAGCGTCGTGGGGACCAGCGTGACCTTGGACACCCTGGGCCACCTCCCAAGGTTTCCAAAGCTACTCATGACCCCCTAGTCCCCAACTCATCCCCACTCCCCACCAATGGGATCAGTGGGAGCCCAGAGAGCTTCCCCAGCCCCCTGGATGGCAGTGGGCACTCGGGCTCTGAAGGCAGCCGCCTGGAGCCCAGCGAGAACGACAAGCACAGCAGCAAGATCCCTGTCAACGCCGTGCGGCCGCATACCAGCTCCCCAAGCCTGGGCAAGTCCCCTGGACCCTGCTTGCAGACAAAGGCTTCAGTGCTGCAGCAGCTGGACAGGGTGGACGAGACTCCAGGCCCTCCCCACCCCAGGGCTCCCCCTCGCTGCTCTTTCAGCCCCCGGAACTCACGGCATGAGGGCTCCTTTGCCCGGCAGCGGAGCCCATATGCACCCAAGGGCTCTGTGCCCAGCCCCTCACCACGGCCCCAGTCGCTCGATGCTACACAGGTGCCATCACCGCTTCCACTGGCCCAGCCATCCACACCGCCTGTGCGGAGGCTAGAGCTGCTCCCCAGCACGGACAGCCCTATGCGCTGGCTGGAGCAGTCTGAGGGCCACCAGCGGCTGGTGGGGCCAGGCTGCAAGGCAGGGCTGCTTCCAGCTGAATCCCTCCTGTCACGGGCGGGTTTCTCCCCAGACTCCTCCAAGGCAGACAGCGATGCTGCTTCCTCTGGTGGCTCGGACAATAAAAAGAAAAAGAGGTACCGACCTCGAGACTACACGGTTAACTTGGACGGGCAAATGGCTGAGGCGGGCGTCAAGCCCGTCCGGTTAAAAGAGCGGAAGCTCACCTTTGACCCCATGACAAGACAGATCAAACCTCTGACCCAGAAAGAGCCAGTGCGGGCAGACAGCCCTGTGCACACAGAGCAGCCACCTAGGACAGAACTGGATAAGCAGGAGGCCAAGGCTAGCCTCCAAAGCCCCTTTGAGCAGACGAACTGGAAGGAGCTGTCGCGCAACGAGATCATACAGTCCTACCTGAGCAGGCAGAGCAGCCTGCTCTCGTCATCAGGCGCACAGACCCCAGGGGCTCACCACTTTATGTCTGAATACCTGAAGCAGGAGGAGAGCACCAGGCGAGGGGCCAGGCAGCCACATGTGCTGGTGCCTCATGGGCCGCCCACGGACCTTCCCGGGCTGAGCCGAGAGGTAACACAGGACGATCTTGACAGAATCCAGGCCCACCAGTGGCCAGGGGTGAACGGGTGTCAGGACACACAGGGTAACTGGTATGACTGGACACAGTGCATATCACTCGACCCGCACGGTGACGACGGGCGGTTGAACGTTCTGCCTTATGTTAGCTTGGACTGACAGGCCCGTTGGCCACAAAGTGCATTCCCACCTTGCAGTAGCCAGGGCAGGCCGGTGGCTGGGCCCAGCTGCCTCCAGCAGTTGGCAACCCGGGAAGTCCAGCCCAGGTGGGAGGGAGGGGGCGGGAGTCACGCGGTCTCTGCGCTCTTCCCTCCAAACTCCTCCTTTTGTGAAATGCTGCTACCAGTTTACTAACAAAATTGAAAAGGAAGGACCGCGCAGAAGGAAGGACGGCAAAGTGAGTTCAGAACTCTATAGCAAACCAGCTATAAAAAGCGTTAGTCCCCTATCCCGGAAGAGGTGCAGACACTCTCCAGCACCTGAACACTGGGACCTCAGTTGCAGGCAGGCACAGGAGAGGTTACGTTTAACACAGCGACAGACGTATGCATCTCATCTCTGTATTTTCTGTTCTTTGATTTAGCCCAGTGTCTGTGAGACAGCGGGTTGCACCTCAGCCTGTGTTCGCACCCCACCCAGCCACTGGCCAGCCAGTGTTTTCCATCATGCGCTGGAAGCTTCTTGGCTGTGGCGAGCCACTGGCAATATGCAGGCTGGCCAAAGGGCCAGCTAGCTTAACCCACACTCCATGGGCATCCACCCATTTGTATCTGGTTTCAGTTAAAACCCAGTTCTTAAAGAAATGCTGCAGAAATTTAAGTTTTCTTGAGTTTATTTTCATCCTTTATTCCTTCTGACCACCAGCCAAGTAACTTTCCTTTCCTTCTCCCTTTTCTTTTTCCTTCCTATGCATATCTAGAAAATTTCACCTTTCTGGAGCGCGCCCCCCCCCCAAAAAAAAACAAAAAATCCCAACCAACCAACTTAAGAGTAACCGTGGGTGCTACTGGTGTGTAAGCTGTACTGCTGGGCAAGAGGGGAGACCTGTCTGTACGCTGGAAACACTCATAACCATTCCTTTAGATTCGTTTGCCTTATGGTTATTTGTCATAAACGCGATTTGCAAAAACAAGGAGCCTTAGTGAATGTACAGTACCTAGACTTCTGTGTTCTCAGGACACAGAAGGGAGCAACTTTGCTATTTGGTCCAGTAAGTGGACACCTTGTGATATAAATGTGGAAATAAAAAAAAAAAAAAAAAAAAAAAAAACATTTGCACAACCAGTCTGGAAATCGTTTCTCATTTGAATCTTCACCACTAATCAGCCCTGTCCTGGATTATGGCTTAGCCAGGGAGTCCCACATCTAGACTTGCAGGCTCATAAGGCAAGTAGGTTACAGTTTTCAAGTTGCCTGTTAGCTTTCTGCTGCATTTAGTGGACTTTTACTTGTCTTTTTTTCAGAGCTACCTGCTAGCTTAGGGCAACAGTCCACAAAACAGTATCAGGGAATGTTACCCTGTCTCATCCAGACTTCACCCACCCCACAGAGAAGTCCTCTACAGCAGGCTCCATAGCTCAAGTTTATCATTTTATCCCACAAATATTCTTAACATGGCATGGCCCAGAGGTGCAGAGCTGTGTGTCAGGCATCCCAGCCCTGGGCTGCCAGCTCCTCACGCATGCCTGAGGCTGCCTTAGTACCTGGTTGGTGATGGGGTTTTTTTTGTTTTGTATGGTGGTACTGGGGATTGAACCCACATCCAGCTCCCCCCGCCTTTTTTTTAATTGTAGATGGACACAATACATTTACTTTTATATGGTGCCAAGGATCAAACCCAGTGTCTCACACATGCTAGGCAAATGCTTTACCACTGAGTCACAACCCCAGCCCCCTAGCCCTTTTTTAAACTTTCAGACAGGATCTTGCTAAATTGCCAAGTCAGGCCTTGAATTTGCCATCCTCCTGCCTCAGAACACACCCTATACTCCCATCCCAAGAAAAGAGCAGTGGGAGACATGACTTTGAGGGCAGTGGGAGATTGCTCCCATCTAACAGCTGCATGGCTCTGAGCCAGTCTTTCGACTCTTATGCCCTTGTTCCTATTGGAGAATGAAGAGTTGTGAGGACTAAATTTTAAAAACTTAAAAACAATAAAAGCTTAAGAAACCAGAAATATGGCAGTGGAATTGTGACACAGCTATGCTGTGGAGTAACTAGCTACTTTCCTACCTCCACTATAGCTAATTAAGCTCGGCTTACATTCTGGTATCCCTAGAATGTGATGTTATTCTGTGACCAAAGGTCATAGGCACAGCTGGAGGATATTAGGGTACAGAGGTTGACGACCCATCAGCGTCTCCTTTTCTCAGACCTGGGCTTTGGCACAGGCCACTACTCCCACCCCACTTGCAGAGACTACCACACCTAGGTCTTAAGTATGCAGAAAGCACAGGGTACACAAATTGTCCACTTTCCAGAACACAACGATAATTTAAGACAGACACCCACCAGCATTTGGAGTTAAGTTGGGTTGCCACTTTCTAACTTGCCAAGTAAGAACATATAAAAGAGAACCAACTCCTCGTCGACAAGAAGTTGGTAGCACATGACTTTTGGAACAAACCAGTCCTTTAGTATAAGATCATATTGCTGAAAACAGTCTTCTCTTCCTCCACTGGCGCTTGAGGGAGTGGTCTATCCGGGCGGTCCTTGGGCATCTTTTGTCGTGCCAAGTACTGCCCACTTCTGCAGCGTTCTGAAGACAGGTGTCCAAGCTGGCTGTTATGGCCACGGCCCCCAAATTAGCCGTGTCACCTGAGACAAGTCGCTTCCCCTCTGGGCTTCGGTCTGCCAGTCTGCGAAATGGAGATAGTTAACACCTACCGCACAGCGTTGCTCGGAGGGATGAAGCTCGGGCCAGGCTCGTCAGCCGCACACCTCGGTGGCTCCCCCAACTCGCTGAGAACAAGGTCAGGGCTGGCCCTTTCGTCGGAGTCCGACTACGCGCGTCCGCCCTGGCACTGCAGTATTAATCTGGCTCTAGGAAATCTTTTCACAGTCTAGTTTTTCCCCCCGGAAGGTTTTTTAACTTCTCGGTGTCCGTAACCGTTTAGCTCTTCAGGAATCTTGCTCGGAGGTCGCCGATGTGCCGCTAAGCCCGAGGTTTAAACCTCCAGCTTGATCGCCCATCCAGACTCTAACGAGGCAGCACTCTCGCGCTTTCACTCGCCCATTCCGTTCGGGGCTCCGCAAGGGTCCCCGAGAGAAGCCCAAGAGAGAAAAACGAGCTCCACTCCCAGTACGAGTAACCCCCTCGTTTCACTTCCGGGTTCGGAACCGCCCCTTCCGAGAACGTATCTCCAAGAGGGCGGGGCCTGCACTCCAGACGTGGTGGCGGGCGCATCGGTCGGCGCGCGGCGGTGACGTACAAGAACAACTACCAATGGGGAGCGGCGCTAGCTGACGCGCCCGCCCCGCCGGCCCCGCCCCCGCCCGGCGTCGGGCCTTCGGGCGGGCGGGAAGGGGCGGCCGCTGGGGCAGGATGGCGGCTGCGGCAGCAGCGGCGGGCGCGGGCGCGGGCGCTGGGGGCCAAGGTGCAACGGGCAGTGGCGGAGGGGCGCGCGAGGGCGCGCGGGTGGCAGCGCTGTGCCTGCTGTGGTACGCCTTGAGCGCGGGCGGCAACGTGGTCAACAAGGTGATTCTTAGCGCCTTCCCGTTCCCGGTCACCGTGTCGCTGTGCCACATCCTGGCGCTGTGCGCGGGACTCCCGCCGCTCCTGCGCGCCTGGCGAGTGCCCCCCGCGCCGCCTGTCTCGGTTCCCGGGCCCGGCCCGCATCCATCGGCTGGCCCGCTGCTGCCGCCACGGTTCTACCCTCGCTACGTGCTGCCACTCGCCTTTGGCAAGTATTTCGCGTCCGTGTCAGCGCACGTCAGCATCTGGAAAGTGCCGGTGTCCTACGCGCACACTGGTAGGTGTCACGTCCGGCCAGGGGGCGGTGGCTGGGGCGCGCCGCCTGGGGCCTCGGTGCAGGGTTAGGAGTGCATCTCCCTGGGCGCTTCCCGGTAGACAAAAACCCAGAACTAAGTCTGAGAAGCCGCCAGAACTTTGGGCTGAGAAGGGCCAGGCACCAGACTCTCGGGGAGGAAAGGGGTTAGAAAGGAACTGGAAGCTGAGTAGGGCGAGCCCAACTGTTGGGGTTGGGAAGAAACCCTATAAAAAGCGAAGGACTGAAGAAGTCTGAAGGGCTGCCAAAACTCCATCTCACGAGAGGTGGAACAGACTCCTGGTGAATTCAGGGAAGTCAGGCAGCCCACTGAATGCCCTTTCCTCTTTTTGCAGTCAAGGCCACCATGCCCATCTGGGTGGTCCTCCTGTCCCGGATCATCATGAAGGAGAAGCAGAGCACCAAGGTAATGCCCTGGCAGGAGCCTGGGCAAATGGGGGATTCCCAGCAATTGTCCAGCTGGTAACTGGTGGTTCAGGCTTCTGGCCTGCAGACCGCCTGGCTTCCTGTCAAATAAGGAAGTCAGTGTAGAGTTCTCCAGTGGCCCTTTTACTGCTAATGTCCTGGAATCACCCTGCAAACAGTGGTGTGTGGGATGTGTATCCCTGAGTGATCTCTGTGGTTTAGTTTCAGGAAAACCTCCATCCCTCTCAAGTCTAACTCTCTTTCTTTCTTTCTTTCTTTTTTTTTATAGTTAATTTTTTTTAAGTCGTTGATGGACACAATACCTTTATTTTACTTATTTCTTGATATGTGGTGCTGAGGATCAAACCCAGTGCTTCAAATGCGCTAAGCAAACACCCTACCACTGAGCTACAAGCCCCAGCCCTTTCTTTGAGTTTTGATTCCCTACCTGCATTGCTGGTAGGTGATGGATGGCTTGGTCCCATCTTGGCAAGGTACCTTCAGTGGGACCAGGGAATGGATCGGAACTCTCACAGATTTTTACTTCTCTCCAAGAAAAAATGCTTAGATAGGGGACTTTGTGGATCATAAGATGCTAGACAAAGGAGTTTGGTGTTGGCAAAATCCAGCAAAGTCTTAGAAATTAAACCAGTCAGGAATTGTGATGGAAGGGAAAATAGCAAGTGGGACTCAAGGCTGCACAAAGAAGATGCTCCTAGCACAGTCCAGAGCCTGTTGAAGATGCCAAGCCAGGGTATTTCCTGGCTCAGTGCAAGAGAACCTGTGGGTTTAGCCAGAACCAGCCTTGCCTTGTGTCTGGAAGTGGAAACGAGACTCCTGTTGTCCCAGCTGGAACCCATTTCATGCTGGACACAATGCCTCGTCCAAGTGGTCGGTTTCTGGCATCCTGTACTTTATGTAACTCGGAGCAGCAGTGCCCTGGATCAGCTTTTAGAAATTGGGCCACCTCTGGCCAGGATTTTTATTCTAGCCTGTCTTTATCCTAACAAGTCCTGTGTGTGCTCTGTAGCACTTCCCTATGGTGACGTCAGGTGTGATTGGCCTCCTGGGGGTCAGAATTGCCTGGAAGGTGTACAGCTACGTCACCTGATAGCACATGTGTTTATCAGGTTTCTCGTTGGACAAGACATTGTACCCAGCTTGGCAAGTTGCCAGAAACTTCACACAGTTTGGAAAAGACTAAGGATTAGCCCTGATAGGTAGACAGACTAATGATAACGATGTGATAATTTCTGGACCCACCCCACAAAGCAGATAAGGCAGATCTTTGTTACCTGATCTCAAGGAAAAAACTGAACTTCAGAGAAGAGAGTCCTATACCTGAGAGCCATAGCCAGGAAGGCAGAAGCTGGAATTCAGGTCCTCCAGTCTGTTCCCTTCAGTCTGCCCCTTCAGGGACATCTACCTATTTTGAGAATATTCTTTGTAGCTCAGGAGTCAGGAGAGTCAGACATGAAGTATGGATTCTGGAAACTGGGAGCTGTTTAGCCACCTGGAATTCTGTGCCTGTTGGAAGGCCTCTTATCATGTTTGCTGCTGGTTCATTCAACCAACAGTTGCTGAGCGGCTGCTGTGTGCTGGTCACCTGGAGAGAGCAGCAAACATGACTTTCCCTAAAGCTGGGCCTAGTCCGATGTAGGCCAGATGATGTGGTGACTTTTCTAGTGGGTTGCTGTATTAGCTCAGGCCTGGGCAGTGGGAACACAGCACAGGAATCTACCAGGGTATAGGGAGGTCAAGATCAGTTCTGGGTGGATGAACTGAGACCTCTGGGGTAAGAGGTCACTAGCAGGAGAAGGTGGAATGTCCTAGCCAGATGACTGTATTAGAGCCTGAAATAAGAGTGAGTGGTGGGAAGCCTTTCGGAGGACTGGGGTTTCAAATCCTGATGCTTGGCCAGCAGCTGGATAGATTTCTAGGTTAAGACCAGGCCCAGCTGTGGCCCTGGGCAGGGTTCTTGATGGGGGTGACAATATGGGCAAGACTGCCCACAAGGACACAAGCCCTGCCCCAGGTGCTCCATCTTCTCCCACTCACCCCCAACGGCTCTGTCATAGCAACATTAATTTCCAAAGTGGCAGATGCATGTCTTAGGTGAGGGAGAAGAGAGAAGCTGAGACTTTCCTGCAGGCCTTGGGGTGGGTGGCCCCTCTCTGCTCTGACGGTCAGCCTGTCCTGCCCTCCTCCTCCAGGTGTACTTGTCACTCATCCCCATCATCAGCGGCGTCCTGCTGGCCACCGTCACCGAATTGTCATTTGACATGTGGGGACTTGTCAGTGCCCTTGCTGCCACACTGTGCTTCTCGCTTCAGAACATATTCTCCAAAAAGGTATTTGGGCACCCTCACAGACTAGCATGATGTTTCTGTGGTACGGGGATGGCAGGCTGGTGGTGGTTTTGGAAACACTGGCCAAGTAGTGATTTCTTGATGTTAGAGAAAAGAATCCTTGTTGCCCTTTCTGCTTGTTTCTTCTGATTTTCTGTTTATCATATTGTTGAAATTTTTTTCTATTATAACATTAATATGTGCAATGTGGAAAAATAAGAGAAAAGCCCAATAAATTATTTGTTTGGCTGGTTATTTGGGGTACCAGGAATTGAGCCAAGGAGCACTTAACCATTGAGCCACATCCCTGGGCCTTTTTATTTTTTGAGACAAAGTCTCACTAGGCAACTTCCTAGTGCCTCACTAAGTTGTGGAGGCTGGCTTTGAACTTGGCATCCTCCTGCCTCAGACATCAGAGCTACTGGATTATAGGCATGCACCACTCCCAGCTAAATTAAAAAAAAACAAAAAACTTCTTGAACACCTAATATGTGCCAGGCACTGTGGTGGATGCTAGAGAAAAAGAATCAAGAAACCCGTCTTCCTGCCGAAGGGTGTCTACTTTATGGAGTCAAATATAGTTCCCTAAAGTTCATAAAGATAATAAGTATTCTGTTTTGTTGTTTTTGTTGCAGTGCTGGGGGTTGAAGCCAGGGCCTTGGGCATGCTGGGAAAGTTCTCTACCACTGAGCTACACCCCAGCCTAAGTTATGATTACTCTTAATGTTAACTTTTTTCCCCACAAAGTTCTTAGATTTGCAGTATTCTAGGTACATTTAAATTTTTGCTTTGTTCATTTGCTCTTATAGAATAGCATCCTCCCATATCATTAAAAATTATTGCTATTAGGGGCTGGGGTTGTGGCTCAGCAGTAGAGCACTCGCCTCACACGTGCGAGGCTCTGGGTTCGATCCTCAGCATCACATAAAAATAAATAAATAAAATAAAAATATTGTGTTCAACTACAACTAAAAAATAAATATTTTTAAAAAATTGTTGCTATTAATTAATGTAATTCTCACATACTTTCCAGATGCCACAGTGATGCAGTCAGTTTCCCCATTGGGAATCAGTCTGTTTTCCATTTTTCGTTGTAAATGTTTCAGTGATGAACATCTTTGTGCATAACATTTTTCTGACTCAGGTTTTTCCTTATGATAGACTAATAGTTCTTGGGTCAGAGGATATGAGATGTTTATAACTTTTCTATATGTTGCCTGGTTCTTTTCAAGAAGACCAGTTTAGACTTAAACCAGTAGAATATCAGACACCTATTTCACTGCGTCTTCTCCAGCATTGAGTGTTGCTCCTTTTTTTTCCTCAGGTCTTTATACGTGGAACATAGTGCTTATTTCATGCATGTGCTGTATGTCTCATAGATGCAATTACAGGTTTGCTGCCCAAGGTCAGATGTCAAGGTTAACATTCAGTCACTGTGTTTGGGCCTGAGTACCTGGAGTACTCTTGCCACTTATACTTTGAATCGTCTTCAGGTATTGAGAGATTCACGGATCCACCATCTCCGCCTGCTGAACATCCTGGGCTGCCACGCTGTCTTCTTTATGATCCCCACATGGGTGCTGGTGGACCTCTCAACTTTCCTGGTCAGCAGTGACTTGGTGAGTTGGCCACCACTAAGAACTCACCATTTTCTTAAGTAATTTCAAAATAGGTGCTTTGTTGGGGAGATATGGTTCTGTGGCCACTTTGGAGCAGTCTTTTGGTATCTGTATTAGTCCATTTTCTGTTGATGAAATATCTGAGGCAGGCTGACAGTATAAGGAGGTTGGTTTAGCTCCAACGTCCAAACAGCATGGAACAGGCTTGAGTGAGGTCTCCCCTGACTATATCACATGGTGGACGAGAATGGTGGGAATGTGCATGAAACAAGAAACCGGAAACTCTGGGATCTAAAATTTTGTGTTTCTCAGTTTTCCATTGCTATGACAAAATACCTGAAATAATCAGTTTAAAAGGAGGAAAGGTTTTGAATCAGTTTCAAAGGCTTCAGTCCATGGTTTCTTGGCCCTGTTACCTTAAACCTCTTGTGGCACAGTATATTATGCAGAAAGCACATGGCAAAGGAAGTCTCCTCATGTCATGATGGACAGGAAGCAAAAAAGAGAAACAGGAAGGATCCAGTTTTCCCAATATCCCCTCCAAAGGCACACCCCCCAATGACCTAACTTCCTCCCACTAGGCCCTACCCACTAATGGTTCCACCACTTCCCAATAGAACCACTGTCTGTCAACCAAGCCTTTAATACATGGGCCTGTGGGGACATTTATCCAAATTGCAGCAAATTTCTTAGAGGATCTGCTTCCTGTTCACTTAAGAACCTCCCACTGAGCCCCACCTCCTCAAGATCCTACCACCTCAACCCCACCACACTGAAGACCAAGCCTCCCAACAAGGAACCTTCGGAGGACCACCATGTCCAAACCACAGCAGCATTTGACAGCCAGCCCTCTCAACATGTGGCTCTTTTTTAAGAACATTGCACATAGTCCAAGAAGTGGACTTTCTTTGCATTTCCTTTCTGGTGTGCTTGATCCCAGGTGCTAATAGATGCTACACTTGGATTGGGAGCATAAAGGCGGTAAACACCCGCACGGGTGACTCTTTCCTGTTCTGACAATGTCGTTCACATCTCACTTTGATGTTTTTTGTTTTGTTTTGAAACCGGGTCTTGCTATGCTGCCCAGGCTGCTCCAAACTCCTGGGCTCAAGCAGTCCTCCTGCCTCAGCCTCCCAAGTTGCTGAGCTGCAGGCTGCGTCTGGCATCATTCCCACTGATCGACTGGCTTACTTCCTTACCTGTTTTTTTAATTTTTTATTCATTCATTCATTCATTCAGAGCTGGGGCTGGAACCTTGGCCTCGTACAGGCTAGGCAAGTGCTCAACCTCTGAGCTACCCCTCTGTCCCACTATGACTTTTCTAAACCATGCTCACAGGGCTCAGATCCTTTATGGGATCAGCCCTATCAGTGTTTTCATTGATTCCAGACATATTCATAAACACTTGAGCACTGGAATAAAGGTCTTCCTGCCACCTGCACATTCAGCCTTGAGAATGTGAGAAACTAATGCAGGTGACTGTGGTAACAAGGAGGGAAATGTTACTCTTTTTGATCTGAATTAGAAAGGACAAGTAAATGTTTATTGAGGGATAAACATGGTGCAGCTGGATTTGTGACTTTCTTTTTCTTTTTTTTTTTTTTTTTTTTTTTTTTGATTTTTTCAGTGCTTGGGATGGAAACCTAGGCCTTACACATGCTAGGCAAATGTTCTACCACTAAGACACATGCCCAGCCCCCAACTCCCTCTCCTAATTACCAATTTTCAGAGCAAAGAGTTGAAGTTCACTTTAGATATTGATCAGGAATAGTTGAAATTTTCTGCTTTTTATGGGACTCAAGGGAGTTCTTTAGTTTTTTCAGTTTCCTTGTATATATCATGTGTGTGTCAGTTACATCGATTCTTTTTCCTATTCAAATTGTCCTGGTTTAGCTGAGGGACCTCTTTTGATTGGCTCCCTGTGCCTTCAGCACCACAGTCAGTCTTTGATATCAGCTTTGGTCCCAGTAGATGCTCAACACCATCTTGGGTACTTCCTGACCCAAACCTGCCATCAGCTGCTCCTTTAGGAGCCCAGGTTGCTTTAGAGGGGTAGGGTATTTAGTGCCACAAACTGGGTGATCTGTGTGCTTATTGCTGTTAAGTTGACATTCCTGTTAGGCCTTTGCAGCAAAAAACAAGATATACACATAGTTGATTCTCCAGATCTACAGATTTCATATCCACAGAATCATCCAACTTCAGATGAGAAACAAAAATTATGTCTGTACCAAACATGCACAAACTTTTTTTTCTTGTCATAATTTCCTTAACAGTGGAGGTTAGCATGTGTTTCCATAACATTCCCTTCTGTCGGGTATCACACATCATGTGGAGATGATGTAAAGTCTACACCCCTGTGTATGGAGATTCTATGCAGATATCCATGTAAGGGACTTGAGCGTCTGTGGACTTTGGTTGTGGGGGCAGGTGATGCTGGGACTTGAGACTAGTGGGGACCGATTTAGAGTAATTAATTCTAACTCTGATTTAACATTCTGGGATCTTTACTGCTTTGATTTTTATTTACATATCTTCCTGTCACGCTTGGTTTCTCTCCACGTTTCTTATTTATTTAACCTACCAGAGTTCTGCCGTTACGTTAGTTCGCCTGACTTCCGTGTGTGATCACTTCAGAGTGAGACGCCCTGCGGATGAGACACCCACCACTGGAGTTCTGAGAGCACCTTAAGATTTCTTTGCAGCTTCATTTGTCCTTAAAATATGTTCCATTAAAGATGAGCCACTGAGACCCCGTGCTCTCAGGCCCTCTGAGAGCATTCTTGGTGGTGTGCATGTCATCGGGTTGTTGTGCAGCCCGGTGGCTTGGCTCCCATTTGTTTTCAGTTCTCCCCAGTTGCTTCCCCCAGGCACTGGCCATGTGGAACTTTAGGGGCTGGAGTGTGCAGCTCAGTGGGAGAACACTTGCCTCACATGCAGAAGCCAGGGGTTCAGGCCCCAGCACCATAAAACAGCAACAAAAGCTTTTATGGTTCCAGAGCCAAACTAACAAGGTCATTCAGACAGGTCTGGCCTCCAGCGTGCTGCCTCTGCCGTATCGCCTTGTATGACTATTATTTGGCTCTTGGCTTAACCTTTCAGAATTTCTCTTTGCAAATGGGAACACATTTGTATATTTGTTAATATGCTCCTTCCTTACACAAAAAGTGACATTTCATTTTATTGTATCTTATTTTATGTATGTACATACATACCCTCACTGTGTTGCCGAAGCTGGCCTTGAACTCCCACCTCAGCCTTCCACATAGCTGGGGTCACAGCTACACACCACCATGTCCAGCTAAAGTGACATTTGTGTTATGAGTTAGATATAGAGGTTGAGTATCTTGAGACCAGAAATGGTTCAGATGTTGGAAGGTTTTTTGGTTTTATCTTTTTTGATTTTGGAATATTTTCCTAGAATTTACTGGTCAAGCATCCCTAACCCAAAAACCTAAAACCCAAAATGCTCCCAAATCCAAAACTTTTGAGCAGTCAAAGGAAATATGGTCCTAAGAAAAGGAAATTAGCCTCATTTGCATTTTTCTCTCTCTTTTATACCCTTGCTAGTTGACCTCTGCTATAGAATGGATATTGAATTCCCACAAAGGCCTGCTGTTCACAGCTTGGTCCCCAGGATGGGACTCTTGGGAGGGAATAGAGCCTTTAGGTGAGGATCAGTGGAAAAGCCTGAGGTCATTGCAGGTGTGCCTTTGAAGGGGATTGTGGCCTCTTCCTTCTGCCTCTGCTTCTTGGCTGAGTCAGGCTGTTTCTTCCACCACATATTCCTGCCATGATTTGCCACCCTCACCAGAGGCCCACAGCATGGGGTCAGTCAATCTTAGACAGGAATCTCTAGAACTGGGAGCCAAAATAAACCTTTTCTTTTTATCTGTTAACTGCCTCAGGTGTTTTGTTATAGTGCTGGAAAGTTGACTCCTGCAGTCTGTAGATACTCAGCAGTAGGCTTCCCTGGCCACCTGTCCAGGGGCCGGCTGCCTCCTCCTCACCTGTCTGGCTGTCCTGGGACCTGTCCTGTGGTCCAGCTCTGCTAGTTGTGTCCTCTTGACTTCTAGATACCTTAATCACAGCAGTCTCACTCCACAGAAGGTCAGAATGGCTAACTAAAGTTTGCTTTTGCTTTTTTTTTTTAATATTTTTGTTTAGTTGTCAATGGATTTTTATTTTATTTATTTATTTTTATGTGGTGCTGAGGATCGAACCCAATGCTTCACACATGCTAGGCAAGTGCTCTACCGCTGAGCCACGACCCCAGCCCCACTTTTTTTTTTTTTCTTTTTTTTGACGTGATGGGGATGTTTGGAACCCGTGCCTTTCACATTCTGGGCAAGTGCTCTACAACTGAGCTAAACCCCCAGTCCTTTTTATTCTTTTTAAAACTTTGAGGCAGAGTCCTGCTGAGCCACCCAGGCTAACCACAAACTTGCAATCCTGCCTCCATGTCCCGAGTGGCTGGGGTAGTGGGCGTGTACCACCACACCAGGTTTAACTTAAATTTTGATAACATCCCCTCTCCTTGTGTTAGTTTGGACTAAGATTGGTTTTGGGTTTGGTTGGTTGGTTGTTTTGGTGCTGGGATGGAATCTAGGGCCTTGTGCATGCTGAATACACACACTACCATGAAGCTATACTACACCCCCAACCCAAAATTGTTTTGTAGCACTTTCAGAGCCAGAGTTTGGTTTGATCCTGACAGGAACAGTATTGGCCCAGTAGAGCCGGGATCAATCCCTCCCATTTCCCCTCTGGTAATATAGAAGAGGACACCCAGACCAGGGAGGTCCAGCAGTTTGCCCAGAGGCCTGCTGTCATGGGCGTACACCATTGCTCTCAGATTTCCAGGTTCTTTGCACATTCAGGCGCCGTCTGTCCATGACCTTCCATCCTACAGAATGCATCATGTCCAATAAGTAAACTATTACTTTGACCCCAGAGCTCCCAGCCATTCTCTGTCCAGGAACAAGAAGAGTTTTGGTTTCTGTCCAGTTTTGCACCCTTTGGGCACCTGGCCTTACCTCTCCCAGCCACTACCTCCTTGGCTGGAGATGATCAGTGATTATTGTGCCACATCAGAGATTATATGTATAAAGTACCTGGTGTGACACGATGACCACATGCCTGGACTTGATTCCTACCAACTGATTGTAGGGCCCTAATAAGACAGATGCAGCATCCCCTCCCCCCACCTCTTCAAGTGGGCATGGAGATGTGGGGCTGCTGCTGTCTGCTCATCCTTGCCTCCCTGTCTCTGCAGACCTATGTCTCCCAGTGGCCCTGGACACTCCTGCTCCTGGCTGTGAGTGGCTTCTGTAACTTTGCCCAGAATGTCATTGCCTTCAGCATCCTCAACCTCATCAGCCCCCTGAGCTACTCTGTGGCTAATGCCACAAAGAGAATCATGGTCATCACAGTGTCCCTGATCATGCTGCGCAACCCAGTCACCAGCACCAATGTCCTGGGCATGATGACGGCCATCCTGGGGGTCTTCCTGTACAACAAGGTGAGCCTTGGGGGAGGGAGGCTGTCCGTGTCGCACCCAGGAAATCACTCAGATTGGTGGAAGGGGGAAGGGAGGGCCCTGGCGGGAGCTAGAGGCCCAGGCTCTGTTTCCCAGCCGGGTCACTGACCTGGATGCCACATCATCTACCTGGCCTTCCTTTTCCTGCATAGATGACCTCAGGTCATCACAGCACTCCAGTTATGGTCTTCCAGTCTTTGGAACCTTGCCTGGGGATTCGCTCCTTCCCCTCAAAGGTATTAAGTCCCATGTTAAGTACGTGGCCTGGCTCACAGGGAGGACTTGCCTTCTCCTTCTGTCTGTTCTCTGTGGTTGTCTACTAACCACTTGGTGGTCAGACTCGAGCCCTGCTCAGTGTCGGCCTTCAAATTGTGAGCTACTCGACGACCCCCCCCCGGGTGTGTCCTGGTGAATGAGCCCCACGGTCTCATTGCTCTCTTTCCTGTGCAGACCAAGTATGATGCAAACCAGCAAGCCAGGAAGCACCTCCTCCCAGTCTCCACCGCAGATGTGAGCAGCAAGGAGCGCCATCGGAGCCCCCTGGAGAAGCCCCACAATGGCATCCTCTTCCCTCAGTACGGGGACTATCAGTATGGCCGCAACAACACCCTGACAGACCACTTTCAGTACAGCCGGCAGAGCCACCCAAACTCGTACACTTTGAACCGCTATGACGTATAGAGCCTAGAGCTGGGGCAGGGCCTCCTGCGACTCCCTCCCTCAGCCCCCAGCAGAGACTCTGACAAGCAGTGAATGTACAGCCCTGCCAGAGAACAGTGGGTGACTTACCACCGCAAGACCCAGGGGCTCCTGGCCCCGAGTGGGCAGAAGGGGGTGTGACTGCCGCGTGGATGGCGATGGGCTCTGGGCAGAGGGAGATCCACATGGAGACCAGGCACACTCTTTCTTCCCGGAGTCCATCGTCAGCGGCCATGACCCTATGGAGCTCTTGACCAAATTTCACCTTTCCACGTGGAGTTCTTCCTCAAGCAGTGTATGTCACACTCCTTACTCAGCTTTCCAGGTGACATCCCGGACCAGAGAAGGGGGATCCCTATGGATACAGACCTGGAGTGATCAGGAGCTGATTTCCTGGGGGGGTCGAGGAGAGGATTGTAGGGTGGTGCTTGAGAATGACAGACTAGCTGCTTTAATTTCACTGCTCAGACATGCATAGGACCAGGTGGGCATCATGTGGCCAGTAGCCTGGGAGAGTCGCTCCGGACACCGCAGCCACAGAGGCGGACCCAGTCTCCCAGTCAGTCCCGAGGCTGTCTGCAGTCACTGGCATGCGCTGCAGAGAGCGAGCCCCGCAGCTGGCACTGGACTCCTGGAGCTTGAGTCTTTGACTTGCAGGTTGAAGTTGGCATCCACCTAAGTCCAGGGGAAGGGAAATCCTCGTCCACCTTTCTCTTCCCTTGCCAGAGCAGGGCACGTCCCCTCTGCAGGCAGCACACGGGATCTGTAGGAAATCATGTTGTGTTCAAGCTGTTTTTCTGTAGTACTTGTTCTTTTTAGATGAGTCTTGGCCACTTCAGTGATGACTTGGAAGGCTGTTTGGTGGGGAGATCTTGATTTTATGAGGATCTTGCATTTTTCTAGAGAATTTTATAGTCGTGTGTTTTTATGCCATGGCCCCCATTAGGGGACACAGCAAAACTAGCTTTGGATCAGAAACCATCATTTCTAAATGGTTAAAAAGAAGACAAGTTCCTACTGGTGATGCCTATCTGACTAGTTTGGTAATAAGTAAGAAGCAATGAAGTTCTGAAGCTTTTCTCTTGATGCCCACAATCACTGAAAATGGAAGGAATCCAGATTATCTCAGTGTTTGGTGTAATCAACAACACCAGTGTTTTGCGTCTGTGATGTTTGTGTTGTGTGTAAGGATGAATTGTCTCCTGGAGAAGGGGAGAAGGGGGAGCACCAAGCTAAAATTTTGTTTGCCAAATCAGATTCTTTGGTCAATAATGGTTTATGAGCTGGGCACAGTGGTACATACCGATGATCCCAGCTACTGGGGAAGCTGAAGCAGGAGAATCCCCTAATCCCAGAAGTTTAAGGCCATCCTGGGCAACAAGGTGAGACCCTGCCTCAAAAAAAGAGAAAAAGAAGTTTGGCTTTGGGTAGAATCATATCAGGAAAATTATAGGACCCCAGGGTGGCAGGGTTCCAGTTGTGGCCTTAGTCTTCTGGCATCATGGAGGGGACCACTGGCTTGGCTTCTGGGGTCTTTGGTGATATCTGCCCTTGTTTCTTCAGCACTGTCCCCAACTTCCAGCTACACATGGGGACAGTGAGTCATAGATAGGACACCAGTTCGCCCTTTATCTCCTGTTGAATGCAGTGTTTCCCCGCTCCAGAGGAAGCAACACTGTTTCTGCTGCACTGGAGTTTGGTTTTGTTTTGTTTTGTTTTCTGCTTTTGATAATTGCAATTTTGTATTGAAGGGTTTGGTTTTCATCTGCTTATGAATGGGCCACTTTGCTCCTTGCCGAAGTTACTCATCAGAAGCCTCAGGAGAATCCCTGTTTGTCCATCTGTTGTTCATTGCTTAATAGTATTTTGATCCCAGGTTTTGAGACAATTGCTGGGTAAAATAGGAAGAACAATCCTGACGGTGTTATTTATGAAAAGATCTTGCTGAGTGCCTTCACCAGAAGCTGTGGAACTGTGGTTGAATTGTTCTCACTGGTGAATGCAGTTTTGCATTGCAAAGGTGTATGGTGGTAGTTTATGATTATAGTTAAGTGATTCCTCAAACATATCATTGAACTCCAAAATGAATTATGCCTCTGTCTGGGTTTAATGAAATTTCTGATGTTACTGAAATTTGCCTATTAACATGTTTTCCTTTTCCAAAGCAAGACATGCTGGTGAGAGGAAATGACTGTCTAGTTTTATTATGGTTTATAAATTAATAAATGGGATATTTAATTCTGTACATTAACGTACAGCAAGTCCATACACTGGAATGAATGCGACAATCATGTTAGAGCAACTTGTCAGGTTAAAAGTCAACACTTTCAAGTCTTGAAGGTTCCAGCTTGACACTGGGTCTATTTGAGGCCTGTGCCCTGGCCTGCTGCCCCCTCCTCCTCGTGTGGGCAGCTCTGCTCTCCTCACCCTCGTTGATGGGGTTGTAGTGCTTCACGCCTCTGTGACGTGGTCTGGCCTGTGACAGTAACTCCTACCCAACTCCTTCATTTTACAGAAGGAGAAACAGGCTTAGAGGGCATTTTTGAGTAGTGTTTGTTCACTGTTGTGACTTGGTATGAAATTTTTATGCACCTTATTTTAAGTCATTCGTTTTGGGGGAAACCAGACCTTTATGACAAAGGAGATAAGCCAAATAACATTCGAATGAGGAAGGACTTAAGTTTTTGAATTTTGCTGTGTATCTAGTCTATACCATGTATCAGACCCTTTATTACCTCTGGACCATAACCAGACCCGAATACCTTAAGGTCTTACAGCCTTAAGAACCCAGAACATTAATTTATTAAAAGACCTGAAAATTCCAATTTTTTTTTTAAATTGTCACCTGTTTGCAAGACTTCAATGCTATCGACTGTTCTGTGGGAATAACTGTATATTCATGATGGCATTTACCAAAAATAAATGATGGTCTCCAGGGAATTGAGATTGGTCTCAGATTTGAGTGACCCTGTGTTCAGCATGCCCAGCAACAAAATGTAAAAGAGGTCAACAAGTACGGTGGCTTTGGTCCTCCCGTCTCCATGTATTCACCTATTTTTTCCCTCTAGGCCAGAAACTAGGATGTGATTTGTGGGTTTTCAAGGAGGTAGGAGAGACTCGGGAAATCCAGGCCCATTGTGGTGGCTGTGCTATAGCTCATACTGAGGTCATGTGCCCAGTGCAGGGGTAGGCTTTTTGCAGTTCTGGTGTGTTTTGTGGACCTGGAGATGGAGCCCAGGACCTCAGGCATTGTAAGCACACCGAGCCACACCCTCAGCCCTGTTGTTTCATTAACCTTGTTCTATAGATGAAAATGAGGCCCCAAGAGGCCGGGTCACTTGTCTGGAGCTATATAGCTACCTGTCTGACTCCAAAGCCCGTTTTCCCATGTTGCTCAAACCACCCCTGCCAGAGACTGTCCTCCAAGCCCAGCTGAGGAAGACATGAGCAGCCACAGTGGCGTGCAGCGTCTCAGTGCATAACCCTCTTGTTCAATGATTTACTAAGCACTTAATGTGTGCCAAGTAACAGGAACTGATACGTGTAAGGCTGCCACCCAGAAAGCTCCCACCTTCATCTGCAGATGTGTAACTAGAGAGCACAAGAAGCGGTGTCAGAGGGACGCAAAAAATGCCAAAGAGTGCAGGGCAGTCATTTCGGCAGCCTGATGGGGAATTGGAGTGTTTTATTTGACTTGTGTTTACAATCACAGTATTAGAGGCCAGGAGAGCGCAAGTACACCGATTACACAAAGTGGAAAATGGAAATAGTTGTTCAGCCCACAGGACAACCTGGGCCCCGGGGGAGAGACCTGTCCCAAACCTAGGGCCTTTTGCCCTGCACCGCTGCCATGGGAGAGCCTTTTGATTTTCCTCAGTTTTGTCACACAAGAGTTTGTGCCATCAAAGGAGTAGCCTTTCATGTCACCTGACAGGACTTTGCTGCTGGTTAGACCCTCCAGCCCATAGAGGGACAACCCAAATGGCTTTGCAGTTTATTGCTGTGATTGTAACAGGGTTTCCGAGTCCTTGCATCAGGACTGGGTCACTGCTGTACAAATCTAGGCCTGGTGTGCAGGGTCAGGATTAAAAGTGGCCCTGTGAAGACCCAGCCAAACAGTAGAGTCCAAACTCCCATGTGGGAATGCCCTCTCCCAGAGTCTCAATTACCTCCTTAAGGCAGAAGTTTGCTGGTGATGTGGACACAATCAGGTCCAGGCCAGTGTCCCCTAGAACCAGCCTCTCTTCCCTGGGCAGGGCAGGACCTAAACCATTCCTCCTGTTGCAGCTTTCAGCTAGCTAACCATATGTGGCTCAGTAACTGCAGAATGCAAGGTCACAGTCACACCAAACCTTTGCGTGACTGAGCCCACCAGTCTGGATGGGCCTGTATGTTTCAGTCACCCACTACATATTTCATAACTTATAGCTTATATATATTTTTTAAGTTTAAAAATCTGTCAAAGCAAAAATAAATTACCTATATGCAGGCATTTAAATGAAGGAGGTAGCTGGGCACACTGGCTCACACGTGTAATCTCAATGACTCTGGAGGCTAAGGCAGGAGTCCAAACCACAAGTTTGAGGCCAGTCTGGACATTTATGGCTGAGACGCAGAGTGCTCCTTGGTTCAATCCTTAGCACCACAAAAAAAAAAAAAAAAAAAAAAAAAAAAAAAAAATAAAGAGGTACATCCTATACAGAGGAAATAATTTCCTAAATATACCAGTGAGTAAAATACATGAAGGCTGGGACTATAGCTCAGTAGTAAAGCACTTTCCTAGCATGTGTGAGGTCCTGGATTTGATCCTCAGCACATAAAAAGTAAATAGAATAAAGGTATTGTAGAAAAAAATTATTAAGGAAAATATACAAATGTGCTTGTTAATATATAGTTTCTCTCTGGAGAGATCCACAAGAGATTAGGTTATAGCAGTTAGCTCTGTGGTGGATAATTACAGATGGTTTTTTTTTTCCCAAAACTATGCAAATTACTTTGTAATGGCCTTAGAAAAAGAATATGCCAAAAATATTTTCTTGTGTTATCAAATATTCTCCGTTGATTTTGTGTCTGTGTACATGATACCATAATTAGAAGGATGTGCTACAATTAACCAATCCCTAGGGCTGAATGTTTAAAATTTTGCCATTTTATGGAATAAATTTGCAGTGAACAGTGTAGCACATCCTTCTAATTTAGGATAAATTCTTCAAGACTTGTTTGCATATGGTTTTAAACTTGTTTCCATTTTGCTTCTCAATGTTCTTAGTCCGTTTTCTATTGCTGTAACAAAATACCTGACACAGAATAATTTACACAGAACAGTTTATTTGGCTAACAGTTTTGGAGTGGGAAGTCCAAGAACATGAAGCTGAAGTCTGCTGAGGACCCTCTTGCTGCATCATCCGATGGTAAAGGGCATCACAAGACAACATTGAGCAAGTGTGCATCAGCTCAGATCTCTCAAAGCCCACCAAGAGGGCCCCTTCCTCAATTCATCTAACCCTAAATAGCTCCCAAAGGTCTCACTTCCAAATACCATCAACCCAGACATGGGGATCATCTCGGGGGTATACATTTCACAAAAATCGTTTTACTTAAAGAGTCTTGCTAGAGCCAATGGTACACACTTGTAATCCCAGCAACTCGGGAAGCGGAAGCAGGAGAATTGCAAGTCTGAGGCCAGCCTGGGTAACTTAGCAAGACCCTTACAATAAAAAGACTGGGAAAGCTCAATGATAAGATGTCCCTGGATTAAAAAAAAAAAAAAAAAAAAGTCTTCAGTTTCGAGGAAATATTATGGGAGAACATCTCTGCAGCAGTCTGAACTATTTATACTGTTTTCTCTAACCAGTGGATTCTGGTTTGGCCTTTTCAAAGGCGCTTGGGAGAGGCCCCTGCGGTGCTCATTTTTTCAGTCTCAGATAAATGGTATTTTAATCTGAAATGATCATATGAAAGCAGGTGCACAGGTCTTTCCAGAGGGCAGGTGAGCAATGTCAGTACTGCCCTGCAGGGTCCTTCACTCAGCACAGCATCGATGAGCATTGACATTTTGTAATAGTATACTGAAGCCAGGCGAGGTGGCGCATGCCTGTCATCCCAGTGGCTCCGCTCGTGAGGCTGAGGCTGAGGCAGGAGTATCGACTTCAAAGCCGGCCTCTGCAACAGCGAGGTGCTAAGCAACTCAGTGAGACCCTGTCTCTAAATAAAATACAAAATAGGGCTGGGGGTATGGCTCAGTGGTAGTGTGACCCTGAGTTCAATCCCTGGTACCAAAAAAATTTAAAAAGTAGCCTGAAAGTGGAACTAACCAAAGACTCCTTAATACACATTCACTAACCTTTTTTTTTTTGATACCAGGGATTAAACCTAGGACACCTAAACCACTGAGCCACACCCCCAGCCCTTTTTTAATTTTGAAACAGGGTCTCTCTAAGTGCTGAGACTGGCTCCTCCTGCCTCAGCATCCCAAGCCACTGGGATTACAGACATGCACCACCATGCCTGGCTCATTAACCTTTCTTCCCCACCCCCATCTATTTATTTATTCATGGTAGGGAATTGAACCTAGGGCCTCTCATCTGCGAGCCAAGCACTGTATCACTAAGCTACATCCCCAGTCCTTTTCATCTTATTTTTAGACAGGATCTTGCTAAATTGCCCAGGCTAGCCTTGAACTTAAAATCCTCCTGCCTCAGCCTCCCAAGTAGCTGGCATTACAGGCAATGCATTACCATGCCCAGCTTTAAAGATTCTTAACTGGCTCTCCTGAGATCCTGGGGTTGGAGGGCCCATGATGGGGCAAGCATGTAGGCCTATAGTCCCAACTACTGGGAGGCTGAGGCAGGAGGAGAACTTGAGCTCAAAAATTCCTAGACTAGGGCTGGGGTTGTAGCTCAGTGGTAGAACACTTGCCTTGCACATGTGGGGCACTGGGTTCAATCCTCACCACATACAAATAAATAAAGGTATTGTGTCCATCTACAACTAAAAATTTTTTTAAAAAAATTATACACTAGCTTGGATAATAGAGACCCCATCTCAAAAAATCAAATGAACAAGACCCTGATAAATGTTGTATATCTTCAGCCCACAAAAATACATATATGTATAGTATTTTATCAACTCTATTAGTTCATGGTTCTCCGAAGTCCATCCATATGGATTTTTTTTTGAGAGAGAATTTTTTAATTCAACATCTTTATTTTATTTTTATGTGGTGCTGAGGATCGAATCCAGTGCCCCGCGCATGCCAGGCGAGTATGCTTGAACCGCATCCCCAACCCTAGATCTCTTAATATAGGTCCTGACTGGTAAGATCCAGACTACCAATCCTTACACAAACAGTAAAATCCCATGCCTACCCTTCCGCCTGAAACAGTCACAAAGCTGGCTCATTGTACAGTTCTCAGTGCAAAACCTCACTTCAGAAGAGCAGTTCATGGTAATCCTACTGAAACAGAGATCCCTTTGAACTTAAAGGCTGAATTGTTTTAGCTCCCCAACTTCCTCATGCTGAGAATGGAAACTTTACCCCATGTCCCTGGCAGTGGTCAAGAAAGCTGAAAATGACATGTCCTCTAGTTAGTATAGCCCGGCAAATAAATAAATTATACACAACCACACACACACACACATATATCTCCTGACTTCTGTTCCTACAAATTGTAACTGCTTCCCTAAGACCAAGGGCAGTTTGATCAAACTATTAAATTCTTTTTCTTTATACTGTTTGCTTATTTCTTATACAGGAGGACAGCAGAATCCAGCCAGCCAGGATACAAACAGGCTCTGTAGCTTGCAGGGTAGGCTCCACTCTCCCACGTTCTGGTTAGAGCACCTTGTCTTCTCCCTACTATTACATAATATATTCATTTATTGATTTATGCTCTCCCCCCATAGTCTGTGGACTCCCTTAGAGCAGAGCTGAGGTCTGACTTGTTGCAGCTGTTATCTATAAGCCATTCTATCCAGTCACCAGCTTTTGAGAGCCAACAATGGTGAACATTTGCACTGACGACAGGAAAAACAAACCTGGAACCCAAATTAAACAAAATGTTATCCCCAGAAAAGAACTCCACTATTCTCATGAGTATACGCTTACTTTTAAAAAATTACACTCAATTATCGTTTGAATTTCATAAATAAAATTTTTCTAGATATTTCTCTCTGGTGATATAAGTATCTAAATAAGATCCTTCACCATCCCTCCCAGCCCGTAGAGCCTAAAATACTTGCTTTCTGGGCATTAAAAAGTTTGCGGACCCCTGGCCTAGAGCAATACTTGACATACAACAGGCAATCCGTAAAGCGTCTGTTGGAATTTTGCAACAGCAACAAAATGAAATACGTATGTATCCACTTGTATAGAAAAACCACGGAGGTATAGCTGGCCATGCGTTAACAAAATGGGAACATTAAAGGGGTCCGAGTTAAAGAAGATAGCCACACAATCGATGTCCGCTATTGATCGCTACTTCAGGTTATCTTGCCCCACAATTTTCACGTTGCCTTCATAATCATTTCAGAAGCGACGAAAGTGCACCTTTTAAGAACCCACTGGGCTCGCAGTCTGCGGCCAGTGTTGAGGGGAGAAGGGTTACCCCAGCCAAAGTCTTCCTTACCAAAGCGAAGAGTCGAGCGGAGGACACCTAAATAGAGCCTGCTGCAATCTCCGCCAGGAGAACGTGAGGGCGCCGAGCCCCGCAGCCTCCGGATGCACACCTCCTTGTCTCAACGAGCCTGCAAAAACAGAGGCCCTGTCCCGAGTAGAAACTCCCTAGACTCTTGATCTTCTATCCGCGACACAGTGCTGTACGGACGCCTTGGTCCCGCGAGCCTTTCACCTACTGCACTGAAACGCGCGCCAGTGGCTCGGTCAGCGCACGCGCCTCGCTGGCCCCTCCTACGCTCTGAGCCCAGCGCCGCTTCTTCCCGCCTGGCTCCTGCCTTTACTTCCGGGGTTTCCCAGCGACGGCCGT